TTGGTCCCCCAGAAAATTTCTTTAAATGTGGCCCCTTTTCCCCATACGAAATGCCACCTATTCTAAATTCGTCTTCGAGGGCTAATTTTCCAATTTGTTTTTCCCTGTAAATGTGGTCCATTAATCTGACCCTCGGATTAGTCCCTAAGAGTCTAAGGACCCAAATATTAGGGTTTTAGGGCCCAAATGCCATTCAGATTCGAATGTTTTGGCCCACGTGGGCCCTAATACATCCGTTATTTGAGCCCTTGGACTCTTAGGGAGTGTTATTCGTATTTACTATTACGAGCACTGTTTTACCTGTCTCCTTCTTATTCACTTTTTTTTAGTACCGGTATTACTATTATTACTACTGCTAGGTTACTGTTGTCACTACTACTCTCAGCATGCTCACTCCTGTTCTTACTATTCCTGTTCGTATAAACACTACCGATATTCTCAGCGTTTCATTCCTGCTCTTGTGGCTTTTGTTGCTGAGCCACACCATAAATGCCTGGAAGCCTTGGCTGCTGCAGCTGTGCTGCACTGTGTTTTTGCGTGCCATTTGGCTCAATTGTGCTTAAGTTACGTGTAGGGTGCAGGGACGCGACCATTGACCAAGTTGCCGCATGTTGACAGATAATTAGATGGCTGACAGTGTGTAGGATTGCAAAACGACCTGCAAGCGCTTACGTTTAGTTGCTAGGCCCAGCTGCACGCCAAGCACCACCCAAGCGATTCAAACTCGTAGCCTGTTGAAGTTCATGCCAGCCAGCACTGTTTCATCCAATCACTGCTAGTGCACGGCAGCATTGACCTATTCTCCTCTATCACCAAGATGCTTCCTATGATTAAATCTCGGCTTGTAGTGCCAAACAGAATGTCATGCTGCAGCCCGACCATGCGCAGAGACCGCTGTGGGTGTGCGAGAACGGACGCATCATCTTCGAGCCTCGTAAGGTTCTTTCATTTCGGTGTTCTAACAGGACTTTGCCAAATTCACATTTGCACTTTGCAATGGTTCAGCGTCAGTGTTGCTCTCTGGTGCTTGTATGGAGTACATGGTGTTGCTGAGGGCTTGGTTGAGGTTGTTCCGTAATTCAGTAATTCTTTGTGCGGGGATACGTTAGATTCCAGTGGGCGGTTCTTCAATAATATAATGAGACCTCAAAATGAAAAAAAACGAAAATGGGTACCACTGGGGTACTTAGAATATTGAGGGAGCCTAGGATTTGTGGATACATATTTGTTTTGCGGCTCCAGGTCCAGGACTTCAACCAGCTCTACCACACAACTTCGCAAGCAAGCCGCGCATCTGTAAAAGCCGCACCTGATACTCGGAAACTCCTAATTAATACGATGAAATAACAGGGTAGCAGTAGCAGGAGCACAGTGCGCAAGGGGCTACTGGGGAACCTAGTATTAGGCATGTTCTGAGCTCCAGGTAGGAAAACAGTCAAGTCATAACCGCCTCATTCGCTGTTGCATGTACCAATTGCATTATACGCACCACGGTCTTTCAGAACGGCTCAGGAGACTTTTCATCCAAAAGCCGCTCAAGTCGCAGACTTCTTGATCGCAGTCTCCGAGCCTGTGAGCAGGCCACAAACAGTGCATGAGTACCAGATCACAGCACCTTTCTGTGAATGAGCTCGTGGTCTCGGAGTTGAGGGTGATTTCGATTGTAACCGCCTTGGGCATTTAATTGGAGGGTGTTGGGTGGCTGATTGTGCAGTTTTGCGGAGGGCAGCCGTAGGCATACTTATTTTGGATGCATTCAACCTTGCAAGGTTTCGGAGTTCCATTTGAGGGGCACATTCCCTGAAAGTCCAAGGATCTTAATTATTGGGTTTGAGGGCCCAAATACTATACAGTTAACGGTATTTGGGCCCTAAAGCCCTATTGTTTGGGTCCTTGGGCCCTTAGGAATCTTGATGCATGGAACATCATGTAACCATCAAAACCAGCCATCATTGTTTTCCACTGCTCAACACCCCCGACTCCATGTTCAACATTTTCGTAGCCCACTGTCCTCTGAGAGACATCTTGTGAGGACGGGGAAGTCCTTCATGTTGCGGTGAAGCAATTAGAAAGACATTGACGTAGCCCTAAACCTTAAGCCATCACTTTGGACTCAGCGTTTTGTACTTCCCAGAGCCCCTAAAGGATCCCAAGTGTGGTGCCCCCCAACATGACCTCCTTCACCAGATTGCGGTAAGTAGGGATAATTTGGAGGTTCGATTTTGGGGGCCCTTTTGAGGGTCTCTCTAGGGCTGAGTTTTTTTGAGCTGGTTGAATACTTTTCTGTACTCTTCAGGGCATATCGTCCAAGCTTGATAGCTATCAAGTTCTGGCACTGAAGCCATCAAACTTGCAAAGCGTTAACACCTCAGGCTTTGTCCTTGAATGCCGCCATCGCCAATGGCATAGATGTTGAACAGATCATCAAGGTCCTGCAGCGACTGTCTAAGAACTTTGTGGACGAGAGCTTCCTGGAATTCATCAGGGAAAAGGGCAAGTCCACAGGAAAGCTAAGGCTCATCCTCAGAGACTTGCTCATGCTTCCTTAGAAATGAGGGAAAGGATGATTTTTCTATGGTAGTGCCTATCCACCCACCCGTGTTATAGTCCCTAAGTCCTCAGTGATATGAGCTATAGTAATGCACTCCTTCAAAAGGTTATACAGGGAATTACTGCTAGCTGAGGCCTAAATTCCTCAACCCCACGCCTAAAATCCAAACACAATGGTTTCCCTTAAGTAGATGCAGTTTCTACTTTCTCTTACACTCACTACTCCCGACTAAGCATGAGTAAGGAGACGGCCGGCACTTCCTCGTAATAACAATAGTAATCATCATAGTGATTACTAAGTAAGGAGACGGCCGGCACTTCCTGGAGTCTGAAGATGCGCCATTGCTACGGCATCTCTGCCGGGATGCTGACGTGGCCGCCTGTTTGGTGCAGGAACTCGAACCTGGCAGTCGCACAGTGGAAGTAGATTCCTTAAAGGCACGACTGGCGAATTCTTCAGGGATTTAGTGACATCACGTGTAGGGTGACAAAGGATGATGCAGCACCTCGAAGGATTACAGTTGAGTTTAACTAAACCTTTCAAAGCCTATTCTTCAATCGGTATGCAGCTTGGCGGGTGGTTTTCCTTCATCCCCAAATGAAAGTTTCCCAAAATTGTGGTCCGCCGTCAGCAGCCTGAAGTGTGAATACTCCCTATCACAGCAGGGGGACCCCATCAAGCCAGGGCCTAGACCCTGAACCCTACCAGCTGTTTTTTGCAAGATCGCAACGAGCAAGCACAACCCTTCCTTCAGGTGGAGAAGCTAAAGCTGGCTGCTCATCAGCTGTCCCTACCACTTCTCCAGGACTGGGCAAATTAATAGTAATAGTGATAGCAGTAGTAGTAGTAGTAGTAGTAGTAGTAGTAACTGTAAGTGTAACAGTAACACTAAAAGTAACAGTAATATTGTAGAAGTAGTATAATGACCTTGGTTTACATGGAAAGGCACCAAAATTGAATCAGCTTCTGAGTTAGATTAACACGACCCGTAGTAAATTCCTCATGTCCTCAATAATAAGGCCTATAATAGTCCCCTACATAGTCTCCTATATAACTTCCTTTAAGGAGTTGAGTCTCTAGAGCAGGAGTACGAATTTCGAAGAGATCGAGCAGATACAAACCCTCAGCTTTCTGCAGTCCTAAGACCCACGGTTCCTGGGTCTACTTTGCAAAGCCTTTTTTTGCAGTATAAAACAAACCTACTGCTACCATGACTAGTACAACTACCGTTGCTACTACAAGCGTTTTTGCCACTGCTAGTACTGTTGCTATAGGAAGATGCTGATTGAGGATCAGTTTTTCAGGATGGTTTCACAGAGATCTAGGTCAACATGCGGCCGTATCAGCTGCGAGCACTGTCGAAGATGTTTTCAGTTGATGATGTGGCGAAAAGTGGCATTGTGGTGCTGCCATGCGGTGCTGGGAAGACGCTGGTCGGAATTGCAGCTTGCTGCCGCGTAGGCAGGCGCGCGCTGGTGCTTACTACAACTGCAGTTGCTGTAGACCAGTGGCGGCGCCAGATTCAACTCTTCACCAGCCTGCCGCCAGAAGATGTTTACACCCTCACCGCTGAGCAAAAGCGCCCAATAGAGGATGCTGAGCGGCGCGCTTGCATCGTCATCTCTACCTACAGCATGCTCCTTGTTTGATACAAAACTTTCAGTTCAGCTGCATCCTTGTTATTCTTGCTGACACTGTCTTCAGACTTGCGTGCAGCGAAGGCTGGGCTTTACAGGCCGAAGAGGAGGCGATACACAGCCCTTTGGCGAGCAGCAGAACTTCTTGTCGTTCTTCAACTTCAACCTGTCAGTTCTAGCCTTCATCTAGTTGTAAGCTGTTGTAAGTGGGCTATCAGGGGGAAGTATGGTTGTAAGTCCCATCTCACAGCATGAAGTTGTGGGGTTTATAAGAGGCCCAGCGAGATGCCTGAAAAGATTGAAAACACTAATTCCCTAAGCGCTCAAATGGTTCATGGTAGTACACTTCCTCAAGCCCTAACCTGACCATACGTCAAGCTCCAAGCACACCTTAGAAGGGTCCAAGTACCCAAGAACCATCCATTTCCAAATACCTTGAGTAGAACTATTCTAAACAACATCCTTAAGTACCTGGTTCTTAGAGCCTTCGGCACACATTTGTGGAAGTCATTGGGTGCAGGTTCATTCTGGATCAGTTGCAGCAACTGGAATGGGGCTCCTTGGCAGTCAGGTATGCGCGATTACATGCAAGGCACGCATTTAGGGTTTATCGTTCAGGGCCGCGGTTTAATGTAGACCCCTAATTAATAAACCCCCTCCCCTTAATAGGGATTACAATAGTGAGCCTAATATTAAGGCCCTTAAAAGGAGGGGGTTTATCAATCATGGGTCTCCATTAGGGTTTAGGGTGTTAGTCCTTGCAGCTTCAGCCCGGCATCAACCACTCCAGGGCAAAGCGCCAGGGGTTCTCTAACAAGTTCGGCACAGTATGCGCAGGATGCCTGGTAGGGAATCAGTAGAAGTACTGCTTGGGGACCTCTTGCGCCTTTGAAGAGTTCCCAACGAATTTTTAGGGCTCAGACATGGCTTATGAGGCTTTGTCTCTTTTTGGAGTGTATCTTTGCAACAGAAGTTATTTCTACTGAGTTGCTGTTAATGAACTTAAACTTAGTTACGACTATGAGGAAACCCTGTTACTTCCTATATACACATAGTATGTTACTTCAATTAGTATGTTACTTCAACTTAAGTTCATAAACAGCATCCCTGTGTATTTTAAACACGTAGCAGCCGTAGGAGCAGTAGGCGCGAATGCCTCTTGTCCCGGTACCTATCCACCACAAAACTGACTTGTTCCTAGTAGGGCACACGGGAATACAATACATAGTGGTTATATATGGACTATATAGGGATAATCTTCCCTCATTTCTTACTGAGAACCAGTAAGAAAATCGCACATGCTGAAGTTGATGCCTTCGCATCTTTCTAGGTTGTTTATCGAAATGGATTCAAACAATGCGAAGCCCTAAACTTCGAAAGCATCTGAAACCCAAAGATCCCCGAGCCCCAAACTGTCACCGGTCCGAATACCTGATACAATACATGCCCAAAACCTATACAATATTTTTAGTACTATTTCAAACTCAAGTACATAATTGTTGGGTGCATAGACCCTTTGGGTCCGCTGTCCCCTGCCCAATCCATACCCTAATCCCAAACCTTAAACCCGAAGTCGGAGAGCTGAGGTTTGCTAGTCGTGGATGAAGTGCAGGTTATGCCGGCCCGTACCTTTAGACACTTGTAAGGCTTAAGGGGTTCAAGATTTTGAGGCTTCATTATTCAGCTTCGACTACACAGTAGAAGCACTCCTGCTTTCTAGTGCCAAGGTGAAGTGGGGAGTGCAGGCAGGTTCAAGCAATAAGAAGTCCAGGGCCGGTTTTCCTGCGGCTTGGGTTGTCACTTCGGTCGTTTCTACTCGCAAACACAGACCTAAAGAGCCTTGGAATACAACAGAATGGTGTTGAAGAATTGAAGCGTTGAAGCTGCTGTGGTCGCGCACACAAGAGCTAGGAAGTTTGTTATGTGGCAGTCTTTCATTGCCGAAGGATGGGCAATGAAAGTTGTAACTTGTGTGACGTGTGTAGGGTCTGGAAGCAAACATGCAGTTGTGGCCAACACACTGCTGGTTCTAGGCGTCGCGCGCAACCGCAGAGACAAGCGGAAGCTAGTGAGGTCGGTTCTGCAAACGAGGGCTTAAGTGTTCCCTTGACCTTGTGGAGCCTTAGATCTTGAATTTTGACTTGTCATGCCTGGTGGCTGGTGGTCCTGCTCAATGCTCTCACTACTGCATGCTGAGACCGAGGGTACAGCATGGCTGCGTAGCATGTGCCTGGCCCAGGAACCGTGGCAACGATGATCAAGTCGCATTGCTGCCTGGGGCTAACAGCTGCTGGGCATGCAAGAGAATGCTAAGAGAGGGTTGAAATTACTTCTGTGAATGGAAAACATGAAGCAGCCAACCGACGGACCACTCTGTTAGCAATACGTGGAAATCAAGGACATCCCACATATAAGCTGTTTTTTAGAATCCTCTATGAGGTCCGTAATTGAAATTACATTTGCGTCAGGCTCGTTTTATGTAAATTTGTTGATCAGGCCCGTAACTGAAATCAGCGTCAGGCTCTTTTTCTGTAAATTTCTTGATCAAACCCATCTGCAAACAATAAAACGAGGAAACAAGGGAAATTCCTGACCTGATTACTTCAGAACCCCGGAATCACGATCTCTGCGTCCTAGTCGACCCCTTTAAGTTAAAGCTAGTCTTCCCACTGCAGGAATAGTCTTCCAGGATTTAGGAGTATCTATTTCTTGGTGGGGGTTGATTTGGGGAGGGGTTAGATTTTGTTTGGCTTGTAGCCTGTGCCCCTGGCATGCCATAAACAACTTATTGGAGATGGCGAATGGTGTGGACTTATCCCATCTTGATTTCTTGGTGGCCGTGCATTCACCGAAAACCCTACACTCCCCCAAACTAACATGGAAATCCATATAGTCCCCTTTTAGAAGGGCTGTCATCTTTCTAGGGCCCTTTTTGGGTTTCCATATTAGTTTCCGGGAGTGTAAACCATAAACCCTCAAGCTAAGGCCACCTTGGTAAGAGAGGATGACTTGATCCAAGACCTGCATTGGCTTCTTGGTGGCATTGATTTACCCTGGACGCTGGTGGAGTGCTTTAGGGTTTTAAGGTTTAGGGTTTAGGGGCCCCAGGGGTCCAAATAGCCCAAGGTATAGCCCTCATAATGGAGAAGCAATTGGAAAATTAGATGGAGACTAGGGGTTTATAGGGATGTATAGGGATCTGAATAGCCCAACTTAGGTAATATTGCAGATATTCAAATGGCTGCGAGCTGTGAAGCGAACCTCTTCTTACTGGTGGTTAGTAGGGAATGCGGGAATAATATCCATATATGATATATACCTTTTTGCCTACTAACCAGTCTTCCTTCAAACCATTGGGATAGAGCCTGGGAATCGGTCACTTAACTCTGGGCATGCTCCGCTGCAGCTATAACCTTGAAACATTTTGCAGACGGGGCTCTTCGGGAACCATTTCATGAAGATTGCTTAGCGATACTTGAGAGGGAACCTAGAGGGGGCAGTACAAGGTGGGGTGAATAGGAGAACCAGTGAATATCAGCACGGTCTTTCATGAAACCTCTATAGACACCCAGTTTCTGTTTAGTCTTCCATGTTCCTTTCCATTTGATTCGCCGTTATTGGCCGTTATGAACCCTAAGGACATTATGTATTTCCATACCTTCGACCCTAAGCTCATATATCCCAGACCCTAAAGAATAAGATCTGGCAGTTTCCATGTTGTTGTTCTAAATATAGTCTCCCTTAGGTAGATAGAATATGGGTTTTGGGCAGAATATAATGGGATTCCCATATTCCCCACATTCTATCTACTTAAGGCGGGGTACTATAAACCCTAACCCCTAAACCCTAAATAGGAGTTTCCATTTTCTTTTCCATTATCCCTATATAACCCCTATAACACCAAGAATATGGCTGTTCCCATGTTGTTGTTCTACATAACCCCAAGGACAACATGGTTAATGGGAGAACTCATGGGCACCCGCGCGAGGCTCATAGGCCCAAAGCTATACGAAGCCAATTGGCAGCAGCTTCAGGCAGGACACCTAGGGTTTAGGGTTTAGGGCTTCGGAGAGGTTTGGGGGTTAGGAATTTAAGGTTGCTGGGTGTAGACTTGCTGTTAGAGTTTCTATTTTCATTGTTATGATTAGTCATGTCTCGATACTACCTTCTACAGTTGAAAATTATCAGCTAAGGGCTGACATTACGGATGATTTGGGGCTCAGGGTTTGGGATGAGAAGGTTCCAGAGCTGCGATTGGAGAGCTTGGATTTGGAATTTCCTGGGTTGCTGTTAAGGAACTTAGATTAAGTTACTATACAAAGGAAACCCTATTATTCACTAGATACCCATGTGATGGTAACTTAATTTAGGTTTCACAAGCAGCAACCCAGTTTCTTCGGGCTCAAGGTCAGCCACCGGGTCAGGCTGATTCTAGCAGCGCAAGATCCGCTGCGCAAAGCAGCGTAGGTCCATCCGTTCTGCTTGGCTTACTGGGGTTAGTAGGGCATAAGGGAATATAATCCCTACATAATATATTCCCTTCTTCCCTACTATAACCCCAATATATACCCAAATATCATGGAGTAGCTTCCATGTTCTTTTCCATTTTCCCTATCTAATCCCGATATAATCTATCCCCTTATTTCTACTAGCCTAGTAAGTTTGCATGTCCAGTTTCAAGGTTGCTTGCCTGCCAATTGGCCGCCTCTAGCCATGCTGAAGACTATGGTTCATCAAGAGGTCCAGGACCCTAAGGGTCCAAGCAAGGACCCAAGTACCAGGTTTTAGGGCTCAAATACTATGATATCAATGGTATTTGCGTCTTTGGACCCTTAAGGGGACACAACTCCTGGAAGGATCTTCGCGGATTTTAGGTGTCTTCGCATGCAAAGCCTGGTTGTTCAGCTATACCCAGCAGTAACCGTCGCGGGACCTTACAATGTTCGGAGATCGATTGTGCTGATCTTGAGAAGTGTTTCTGGCCTTCTTCCTTGCCTCGGCCCCGGGACACTAATTGCACGTTTGGCACGGCAGGTCACATATTTGCCGATACTTGCAGAATGATATTAACAAACTGCCAGGATTTGCCAGCGCAGTGGTGTTGTGAAATGTGCGGTCCCGGTGAGTCTGGCAAGGCAGTTTTCAGGGGTCATCCTCCGCGCTATTTGTCGTACCAGACAGGAGCCACATAACTACCGGAATGGGAGCCCCAGTGATTGGTGAATCCTGTTGGGTCCTCGGTGCAGTATGGGCTACCTAGGTTCAACTTGGGAAAGGCCAAACTGTGACCAAATACCAAGTGTTCCAGGATGAAGGCTACTTGGCCCGAGTCCGATGCATCGAAGTCTGGTGCGATATGGCGACGGAATTCTTCCAAGAGTAGCCGGGCCTAAATTAAAGACCAGCAATTCTTGAGGTTGATAGCTTAATTTTTGAAACTGCAGCATCGATGTTTGGTGAAACTGCTCCTGTTCTGGCTTGAGGAAACGGAGCTAAAAGGAGGCACAAGGGACATTCGGGCTGCGTCTAGATGCGGGGTGTGTGTCTTGATTCAGGAGATTTCGGATGCGAGCAGCATACACGGTGCATGACATATGACATGCTGATCCTGAAGTACATACAGACCTTGACCACACAAGGTAAAATTTCAGCCTGGTGCGTGCGCAAGTTCCGTCCTTCCGTGAGAAAGGATATCGCGTGGCTCAACTCTGGCCACGCTTTGCGCTGGGAACAGCCAGCATGTTTTTTCAATCGCCTGCAAACCTGTAGCTTCCTGGTGGTGAGTAGAGAACAAGGGTAGGTAATCCCTATATGTAAGCCCTGAACAGTGTATTCCCTTATGCTCTGCTAACCCCAAACCCTAAGCCACCTAAGTCCTAAAATGTACTCCCGACTCATTCCCTCCCAACCCCCAGTCAGAAAGCTTGAGTCTTCAACCCCTTGCGCGCAAAAGCGCGCTCATCCGGCAAACACAAGCTGCTGAGATTGAATGACAACGCTCAAGAGGATAATGAGTACAACTGATCATCATGAAAATTGTTCCTGTGGTTTCGTCCCTGCATTTTGCACTGCACCCCCATTAATTTGGAAAATCGGATTCCTAGGTCACCCTGACAAGCCTGTATTGCACACGAAGCTTCAAGCCGACTCCCCAGGTACTTACAGGCACAAGATAGCCCCGATGTTCCAGGTTCGAGTGCATTCTTGCTTCATTCTGTTGGGTAAGCACACCGACCCTAGGTCGGTATAGGTTGCTAGAAATTACCTGGCATAAGGCAGCCCCTCATACTGAGGGTACAGCAGGGGAATAATTTTGACAGCCATCGATTTACAGGGTCACATTGCGTTCAAGGTCTGCGGAGTTCGTCATGCCCTCAGTTAGGGTCCAAGGAGCACAAATGCTGCGGCTGTAGGTCCCCAGCACTATAACCTGAATGATTTTGGGTACTTAATTTCTGATGTTTGGGCACCCGGACTTTCACAGGAGAAGTTTAGGCCAAGTTTAGCTTAGGTGGGAAAGCCCAGGTTTTTACCGGGCAATATCCTACAATCCATTACAATTGTTTCATCAGACAACACTATACGGTTTGGAAATATGCCTACAGAGCCTGCTTATAGCCCGTAGTGGCTTCATGGTAAGCTCTTGGCTTCACCTCAGTGGTATGAGGTAAACGGATTCCCTCCCCCCGTAATAGCCCCCGCACCTCCACTAAGAATAGCAAGTCCCTTGATAACTCAACTTTTGCATATATATATGTGTGTGTATGTATNNATATATATATACACATACATATAGAGAGATCATACACTGGATTGTGAATACTTGTTGTTGGGTGGCAGCAGAGGCACTGTTATCTGAGGAAGGTAATTCCAATAGAACCGTCCTCACATACCCCGCATGTAATCCCAGCTCCCATTTCATT